AAGTGAACCGGTTATATCATCCTCTAGGGTAGTAAAAAGAATGGGTAAAGATAAACAACGAAAGCTTTAAATTATATTGTGAATACCGACGATAATGACACGATATTTAGTGATAGCTATAACAGTGATACCGATGATAGTAATCATTATGACTCGATGACATAGAGTTCTTAGTTGAGCTCTTATATTATATTCGTAAATGTATAATCATACTAAAATAAAAAATATATTTTTTATTGCAAGATAATTTTGTATTATATAACTGATCATTGACTGACATTTTTTTATTAGAGACTGTTTTATAAGAACTCTTGACTTGAGATATTTACCCCCATCTTCCTCTTACTCCACTTTTTATTTTTCTAATACTATGTTATTGATGGTGGAATAGACGGGAAATAAACATTAGGTAAATTTACTCTCAAGCTCTTTTTTCTTTAAAACATTCCTGATAAAAATATTCACAATATTTATTTTCTGAAGACATATAAGATTTGGAATATCTATTAGCAAGGTATTTGAACACGAGACCCTCTTCATGTGTGTCGGTAGTACAATCAAGACCTTCATGTTCATTCTCATGTTCTATGGCATTATCATTCTCATGTTCTATGGCATCATCATTCTCACCAACATCTTTGACTCCTCGACATCCAAAATATGGTATAATATTAACAAATGTCTTATACATATCTACTTTGCCTATATTCGCTAATAATACTTTTCTTTCGCGTCGATCCTTAATGAAATTATAATCTTGTATTTCTCTGCCGACCAATACCGGTATGTCCGTCTGCGTGGAGTCTTTCCAGAGCGTCTCTCTGTTAGCGGAGACGACTCCCCGACAGAGCTGTTGCAACGACGACAGCTGGCTCCATGATCTCTTAATAGCGTCAATGTTACCGCCTTCTATCGCTCTGCACACTAGTATGTTTTCGTAGATAAAGTCGCGATCCTCCACCTCCCATGTCTCGTTGCGCCAATTGCAAGAATATATATCCTTGTGGTCGTAATTAGACACTATGTGGTCGAGGAATCGCTGAACACTGTAGGTCACTATGATGCTGCTCTGTAGAGCACACATCTTAAACCTCTTCCACCCCCTCAGTTTACTCATCTGTCTTGTCTCGCATGCATTATTAATATAAATGATTTCCACATATAGGGGTCTCGACTTGTAATTCATTCGAAAGAGCATGCAGAAATCATTATTATTACTTAAAACATAATACACGATATTTAGTACTTTGTCGGAGTTGAACAAGAAGTTGCGCAATTCCTCGTCCGTCCAATACAAACGTAGTTCGTCGAGAAAGGTTAGGGTGACAAATTCGCTTCGATGTTCGGAGATTATCTTTTCAAATTTTTTTGAATAGAACTTTCTGTTAGTGGAATACAAGTATTGGAATGTTCTTACATGATCAACTGATTTACAAAAATAACAAGTAATTGATTCAGGCACCATCTTACAAGAGTTGGTTTAACTATATTGATAGTTCAACAGTGAGTCATTTATTATTTATATCGGGATTTATGGGTTGCACGTTGTATTTATATCTTCCGCCACCACCACCATCATCTCCTTCTCTCCACCCCCCCCCAATCTTCTCCTCTGTCTCCGGCAGAGATGGAAGAGACGGAAATTGAACATTAGGATAATATTTACTTTCGTGCTCTTTTTTCTTGTAAGTGTTCCTGATAAATATGTTCGAAATATTTACTTTTAGAAGGCATATAAGACTTGGAATATCTATTAGCAAGATATTTAAATACGAAACAAAAAGCATTGCGAATAATACCTTCATCAATAAAATATTCTTCATATTCGACTCCTCGACATCCAAAATACGGTATAATGTTAACTAATAACTAGACTTGAATCCTCTTCCATTTAATAGTAGTTTTTTCGCGTCGGTCCTTAATGAAATTATAATCTTGTATTTCTCTGCCGACCAATACCGGTATGTCCGTCTGCGTGGAGTCTTTCCAGAGCGTCTCTCTGTTAGCGGAGACGACTCCCCGACAGAGCTGTTGCAACGACGACAGCTGGCTCCATGATCTCTTAATAGCGTCAATGTTACCGCCTTCTATCGCTCTGCACACTAGTATGTTTTCGTAGATAAAGTCGCGATCCTCCACCTCCCATGTCTCGTTGCGCCAATTGCAAGAATATATATCCTTGTGGTTATAATTAGACACTATGTGGTCGAGGAATCGCTGAACACTGTAGGTCACTATGACACTGCTCTTCTGCATCGTCTCGTATATATGTGTTTCTTCAAAGTAAAGAATTTCCACATATAAATGTCTGGATTTGTAATTCATTCGAAAGAGCATACATAAACCATTAATATTACGTGTAACACAATACACGATATCTATTATTATATCGGAGTCGAACAAATTGCGCAATTCCTCGTCCGTCCAATACAAACGTTGTTCGTCGAGAAAGGTTAGGATGATAAACCTGTCTCTATGCTTGGATATTAACTTTATATGAGGTTCGAATATATTCCAATAAAATATCCTATCATCGACATCCCGAAACTGATCTACACATATTAAACGAAATCCTGATTTGAAAAGACTTTTTGATAAAGGTTTCTTGGATAATATTTCATTGGATAAATTTCCATTTTTCATATTTATATTTATTTTTTTTTATAGCGTCTCTTGTTGTTAGTGTTATAGCAATCCGTAGTATAGATTTATATACTAATAAATGTCTTACACGTGAAACTTCCATTTAATAGTTTTTTTCGCGTCGGTCCTTAGTGAAAATATATTCTTGTATTTCCCTGCCGACAAATACCGGTATGTCCATCTGTGTGGAGTCGTTCCAGAGCGTCTCTCTGTTAGCGGAGACGACTCCCCGACAGAGCTGTTGCAACGACGACAGGTGGCTCCATGATCTCTTAATAGCGTCAATGTTACCGCCTTTTATCGCTCTGCACACTAGTATGTGATCGTAATTAGACACTATGTGGTCGAGGAATCGCTGAACACTGTAGGTCACTATGACACTGCTCTTCTGCATCTGTGTTTCTTCAAAGTAAAGAATTTCCACATATAAGTGTCTGGATTTGTAATTCACTCGAAAGAGCATACATAAACCATTAATACTACGTGTAACATAATACACGATATCTATTATTATGTCGGAGTCAAACAAGTTGTGCAATTCTTCGTCCGTCCAATACAAACGTTGTTCGTAGAGAAAGGTTAGGATGACAAACTTGCCTCGATGCTTGAAGACACTTTAACCGAATCTTTCTTTACCTTATAATACACTCGCGTTCACGCAATTACCAAACGGTGACGATGATGATAATATCGAATTGATTAAGCATATGTTATAATTTCTGCATACAGAGACTTCTTATGTTTTATTGTAAAATTCTATAATATTTTAATCGTTCCTCTTCATCATCTCGTTTGGGAATATAATAATTAGTTAACATGACAAATAAAATATTCATCATATTACTATACAGGACTTCCTATGGGTATTGCTACTGATCCCGGCTGTTGCACCTGAACCGCATTTGGATTAACAGGATCTGGATTAGTGGCCACAGAATTCAAAATTTGCTGCTCTTGTAAGTAATATGGGTTAGTATAGACAAATATACTAACATTTACAGTGTCACTATCAGAAAAAAATACGTGATTGGGTGCATGAACCCCTTTAATAAAATGATTACTTTTTCCTAACAAATATGCTATAGCGTTTTCAAAGTTGTTTTTTACAGACCACCTGATTGCATTACAGCGAATTTCTTTATTAGCGGCATTCTTATTAGCACTGGGTTTGTTATTGTAGCTAACATGGTAAGGATATTTCACAAGTTTTTCTTATAAATTTGAATATTCAAATACCATTTCGGTGATTTCTATAATATTTTTTTTTCTTCAAGTATATATTCACATGTATGTTAAATAAATAAAAAAAATGTTCACATTTACTTTTGTATCACTTGATAATTTGTTTACTCTTTTTTTTTACCCAATACATAATAGCAATAATAACAATGTTCCTCCTCTCCCTCTCTGTCTCGACGATAAGTTATTATAAGCACATTATATAGTAAAAAAAATATTTAAATCCTATCCTCCTATAGAAATGAGACATTTTTTAATTAATATTTCCAGTTGGGTGTTATAATTATATATACCATAGTCAATACGAGTATCAAGATTAATTGAATATATTGTTCTAGACTGACAAGATAAAGAAAAGAGATAAAAAGAAAGAATGATGAACGATGGAATCAAATACACCTCCTCATCACTCCAGACAAGAATCTTGGAATACGGAATTTAACACTACGACAGAGGGTCTAAAAAATGATCACCTAGAACTTAAAAAGGATATAGCACAAAAAAGGTTTAGTAGCTAAAATTCACCATTCTGTTCCTAGAATTTGTTATATAATATGGGCGATTATGATATATTTATTTTTAGATTTGTTACATATAGTGAGCGACTGTGGGATATTCATCACATCACATTATAAAGGAATCTCTGATAATATTATTAATATTCAAAGATAGATAGAGAGAGACACTATAATGGTTACCATAGATAACGAATTACAATTTGAATATAAACGTCTAGAAACGTTTAAAAATGGAGAATGGCCCTACTGTGAAATAGACCCGGCTCCTTTGGCTAAGGAGGGATTCTGTTATACGGGAAAGAGTGATTGTTGTGTCTGTGCTTTTTGTAGAGGAACAGTGAGGTGTTGGAGATCTAAACCTGATGCAGAAATGGAACATTCTCGTCTCTTTCCACTCTGTAAATACGTTTTAGATAAGAACGTAGGAAACGTACCTCTCATGAGCAGCACCTTCTCCTTAACTAAAGGTAACTATAGCACATGCTGTTATGTTAGTTTCTATATATAGTGGTTATATTCATATGTTGATTATATGTTGTAATTATTGTTCTTTTTTTTTATCCGGTCCAATAACACTGAACCGGTGCATGAAACTTTGTGATGCATCGACAGCGAATGGAATCATTCATGAACTGGCCAAGAGATAAAAAGATACCAAAAGCTGTTGATTTAGCAGAGGCAGGATTTTTACGACCAGCAAAAACTTTAGGTATATTATATATATATATTATTATAATAACATATATATACATACGTACTATACATATATGTAGTATGTATATGTAAACTAATACCTATGTTTTTTTTTAGAGTTACACGACCTGGTTCAATGCTTTCAGTGTGGAATAAGCTTAGAGAAATGGACAGAGGATGACATACCATGGAATCAGCATGCTTTATGGAACCCATATTGTTCGTATCTTAGGATGGTGAAGGGTGAAGAATTTATCATGGAGGTAATATTAAAGGAAGGGGGGGGTAATTGCATGAGATAAATTTGTATTTATACTCTTGATGATATAAGAGTATATTTTCATTCTACTATATATATATATATATATATATATATATATATATATATATATATATATATATATATATATATATATATATATATATAAAATACATCTATGTTTTATAATAGAATTTATTCTTTAGGTTCACAATATGAATTACACGAGAATGTCGACGATATCTGATTCTACATTGAACCAGTAAGATCATCATCCCAGAGATGTCTGCAAAGAAGGAGAACGATTTAGGATATATATATATATATATATATATATATATATATATATATATATATATATATATATATATATATATATATATATATATGTTAGTTATGGTATGTATTATTAAGTTAGAATTATTATTATTCTTATTATAAACATATAGATAAGACTTATTCATATACAAATATATCGAGTTAATATTAGTTATGGTATGTATTATTAAGTTAGAATTATTATTCTTATTATAAACATATAGATAAGACTTATTCATATACAAATATATCGAGTTAATATTAGTTATGGTATGTATTATTAATTAGAATTATTATTATTCTTATTATAAACATATAGATAAGACTTATTCATATACAAATATATCGAGTTAATATTAGTTATGGTATGTATTATTAAGTTAGAATTATTATTATTCTTATTATAAACATATAGATAAGACTTATTCATATACAAATATATCGAGTTAATATTAGTTATGGTATGTATTATTAAGTTAGAATTATTATTATTCTTATTATAAATATAGATAAGAATTATTCATATACAAATATATCGAGAGTTAATCTTATTATTATATACGTTGTTAAGTTAGAATTATTATTATTATAGACTTATTCATATACAAATATATCGAGTTTTACTGTTATTTTGTTTTCTTTAATCATTTATAAAGCGATAAGTAAAGGAGAATAAAAAAAAAAAGAAAGACCATAGTAACTATACAATAATACAAAGTCAGCTGTTATGAACTCTATCATCATAAATATTCAGTTGCATGTTAGTTCATCAATCCAAGAGATCGGCTTCTTTTTATAAAACGGGTTTTTCGTAGTATAACCTATAGCTTTTACAGTTTTCAGTAATGTATTTCGTACGTTTTCTTATGTTACAGGGTATACTTCGAAAGACCCGTTTTTATCTAACCTTTGGAGTCGCATTTCTCAAGGAAAGATCAATCTTCGCCCATTCCACTTACAACATACACAAAACATGTAAAACACCGTCTTATTTAGTTGACTAATGAGAGAAAAAAGCGAAAGTGTAGCGGTAATTTCTCGGAGATCGTATGTATTCAACCTCTCAGAATACAGATTCATATATGCGATGTTTCGATAAATACTCTTTTTACATTATATTTACTTGTCAATATTGAACAATTTAACATGTTTCTATACATATTATGAGTAGAAAAAGAGCGGAGATCAACCTCTCCTTCAATGATAATGTAGCACATGCATTCCAGAGTAATGACGTCACACGCATTCCAGCTGACGACGTCAGAGATACAGAAAATAGCGTTTGTTGGGAGTAAACGACTATATTCATAATACACCTATCTTTATTTTTAGAACATGTCCTGTGAATTCTGAATATAAAACACCGTCTTTTTTAGTTGTTTAACGAGAGAAAAAAGCGAAAGTGAAAGCGAAAGTGTAACGGTAATTCTCGGAGATCGTGCGTCATCGATCTCTCAGGATACAGATTCATATATACGATATTTCGATAAATACTCTTTTTATTATATTTATTTCAATATTGAACAATTTAACATGTTTCTATACATATTATGAGTAGAAAAAGAGCGGAGATCAACCTCTCCTTCAATGATAATGTAGCACATGCATTCCACAGTAATGACGTCACACGCATGACGTCAGAGATACAGAAAATAACGGTTTGTTGGTAGTAAACGACTGTATTTATAATACACCTATCATTTATTTTACATAAAACATGTCCTGTGAATTCTGAAGATAAAACACCGTCTTCTTTAGTTGTCTAACGAGAGAAAAAAGCGAAAGCGAAAGTTAACCGCTCGTCGTCATCGATCTCATACAGATTCATATATACGATATTTCGATAAATACTCTTTTTACCTTATATTTGCTTGTCAATATTGAACAATTTAACATATATCTATACTATTATAAGTAGAAAAAGGGCGGAGATCAGCCTCTCCTTCAATGGTATTGTAGCACACGCATTCCAGAGTGATGACGTCAGAGATACAGAAAATAAAGTTTGTTGGGAGTAAACGATTATTCTTAATAATATATTCATAATACACCTATCCTTTTTTTATCATTCCAGCTGTGTTTCAATTTAGTTTATAGAACCTAATGAGAGAATAGATGCTAGTTTACATATAAAAGTATTGGTTTATAGTTATTTATATTGTAACATCATGCATCTTAGAGAGAAAAAAACAAATGGAGATATGTAACATTAGGGTATAAAAAATATAGAAAATAACTCAGATTAATATGGATTAATTGTTCCTGAGTATATTATATGTTGGTTTACCAACCTATAGAAAAAACTAACAGAGAAAAAATAATTTATCGAGATGATGGCAGCAAGGGATAACGAGGCCAGAGCGATAAAAAAAAAGTGAAATCATATGGGGATAAAAGAACAAATATTAGAAAATATTCTCCATTCATTATTTCCCAGTTGTGTTACAAATTAGTTTACAGACCTTAGTGAGAAGATAGATAAGTAGATAATTACTGGTTTACATAAATATATTGGTTTATAGTTATTTATTGTAACATCGTGCATCTTAGATAGAAAAAAACAAATGGAGATATGTGTTAGGGTATAGAAAATAGAGAAAATAACTCAGATTAATATGGATTAATTGTTCCTGAATATATTATATGTTGGTTTACCAACCTAAAGAAAAAACTAACAGAGAAAAAAATAAATTAATATCGAGATGATGGCAGCAAGGATAACGAGGCCAGAGTGATAAAAAAATGTGAAATCCTGTGGGGGATAAAAGAAAAATATTAGAAAATATTCTATCCCATTCATTATTCGCCAGTTGTGTTACAAATTAGTTTACAGACCTTAGTGAGAAGATAGATAGTAGATAAATACTGATTTACATAAATATATTGGTTTATAGTTATTTATGTTGTAACATCATGCATCTTAGAGAGAAAAAAAACAAATGGAGATATGTAACATTAGGGCGTATAAAAAATAAAGAAAATAAACTCAGATTCATATGGATTAATTGTTCCTGAGTATATTATTATATGTGGTTTACCAACCCAAAGAAAGATTAACAAAGAAAAAAAAAATAAATAATATCGAGATGATGGCAGCAAGGGATAACAAGGCCAGAGCGATAAAAAAAA